GACACCGTACAACACAAAAAATAAAAAACAGTAAGAAACAGTAAGAAACAAGAAACATGAACAACAAGAAGGAGTCATGGCGGAGAGAGAGAAAGAAACAGCCCAAAGCTTGGCCTCCTTTCACAAAGAAACGCAAACTACCCTAACTCTACTCTGTTTCTACATTGGTTTCAGACATAAAGATAATAAAACAGTTGCGTTGATGCTAGGAACCTGTCTAGGCCTAGGCCTAGGCCTATTTCTATGCGGAAAACTGATCAGGAATCGATGAGGGAATCACTAAAGAAGCAGAATCAATAATGGCATTGTTATCAATATTAATTGATTAATTCAAGAATAATTCCCATCCCTACCTTTGTAAGTGTTAGAATTAATTATATACAATTTTTTTATCAGTATTAGATATAACTAGCATATTATTACACACCTTCCTTTTCCATCAGCCACCAAATATCTCTCTGGACCTCACCAGACTTCTTCCACCTGACAGGAATCACCCACTCATAGCTAGAGGAAAAAATACATTCAACTTTTTACATCAAACTCATGATTTAGGCAAGTTAAATGGAGGCAAAGAGGGAGACAAGACAAATTTTCTAAATATTGCCACAAAATATCTTTCACTCACATCCCAACAACATGAGTCACTTAAAGTGAAGCAACTCACAAGGGCGGCTTTAATACTTTTTAGGACAATATAATCCTTAATAATCCTCCCATACATTGCAGTTACATGTGGTTGTGTTCATACTTATAAGGTGATTCAACTGCGACTTCAGACTCTGGATCCAGCAGAAAGTGCTTCTGGGATACCTTCCCTGTGGTAGTATCCAAGGTAACCACAGGGAAGCCCATCTGAAGCACCCAGCAGTTCATGATTTCACAAACTGAGCGAGGAAGTGACACATTATTGCTTTTCACCGCCTGTTGACAAAGGTGACAGAAAGCATCAACATCGTCAAATGTATATATCTATTTCCATATATTTAGTTTAGGGCAGTTTTATTAAATAATACACTATGTGAAAATGTCAGACATGAGGGCAGTACATACTAGTATGGTATGATGGATTTTCCTGAAATAGGTCTCAAACAAAAACAAAATCTCCACATTTTGGGGCAAACCATGTGCAACTCTGAACAACATGGAGAGAGGCTGAAGACATTGTTGTAGTACTAGTACTAAAAATTAAATTTATTAGCAGGAGAAATACAGAATTTTGAGCTTGTTCTGCCGAACTTAACATATTAGTTAACTGAACTTAGGTTGAATGTTCAGATCAAAGTGAGCTCATACATTGTGAAAATGTAAAACCAGCTTAGTTACAGCCCCTAAAAGGAACAGGAAATTCTGGCAGCCCGTGGACAAAAGTGTTAGGGTTTCTACCACCTCGTTTCATTGATTTTAAGGGAAATCCGAATGAATCCGACCCAGTGACAGGCATTTAGAATAAGATACGGATATATATCAAGCCCGATGAAATTAATCAATTATCTAAACTACAAACATGTCTTAAGGACATAA